ACAATCTCTGTCTTCTTCTTTCTTGCAGTGCTGATGAAGGAAATCTTGGGTTCCCCCAATTACCAGGTCAAGGATACTCTTTTCATAGCTTTCGAACAAACACATACAAACTGAGCTTTATGGAGAGTCCCTCTGGGATTAAGGTGGAGTTTCTTTCTATTATATGCGTTCTTCATTTTTTTATTTGCATTAACATGGTTGCATTTTGTTGAGTGAAATTCATTCTCTTTCTCCTATTTGTTTTCTCTGTCTCTTTCGATGTAAACTTCCTCAAAAAAAGAAAAAAAAAAAAGACAAAGAGCTGAATGTACCTAGGCAATTTCCATTTACACCAGGCAATATCTAAACAATTCTTAGACATGCTTAGCTGAAGTGCGCTCAGTCAACTATAGAGTAGCCATGTTAAATCTTTTTTAAATCAAATTTGAATTCTAACATCCTTCTTATTCGTTTGTGGCCCAATCTGCCATGTTATTTCCTCTTATTCCAATATGGCTTTTTTTTTTAGCTGTTATGTGTATTGATTTTAACGCCAAATGTTGTGACTGTTTGGGGCATAACTTTTATTTATTTCTCAATTATAGTAGATAGTGTGTGTCTCTTGCAATTTTTTATCATTATTGATTTTTATTTATAGTTGTAAGATAGATTTTGAGAATTGGGCTTTGACAATCTCTGTCATCTTATTTCTTGCAGCGAAGAATGAGGAAATCTTCGGTTCCCCCCATTACCAAGTTCAGGATGCTCTTTTCATAGCTTTCGAACAAACACATACAAACTGAGCTTTATGGAGAGTCCCTCTGGGATTATGGTGGAGTTTCTATCTATTATATGCATTTTTCAGTTTCTATTTGCATTAACACGGTTGCATTTTGTTGAGTGAAATTCATTCTCTTTCTCCCCTTTGTTTTCTCTTTCTCTTCCGATATAAACTTCCTCTAAAACAGAAAAATAAAGAGCTGAATGTACCTAGGCAATTTCCATTTACACCAGGCAATATCTAAACAATTCTAAGACATTCTTAGCTGAAGAGGTCTCAGTCAACTATAGAGTAGCCATGTGAATGCTTTTCTAAATCAAATTTGAATTCTAACATCCTTCTCATTTAAGCATGGATTGGCTATGCATGGAAAATGGTTTGTGGCCCAATTTACCATATTTATTTCCTCTTATTCCAATGTGGCTTCTTTATTTTAGCTGTTATGTGTATTGGTTTTAACGCCAAATGTTGTGACTGTTTGGGGGCATAGCTTTTATTTATTTCTCAATTATAGTAGATAGTGTGTGTCTCTTGTAATTTTTGATCATTATTGATTTTTATTTATATTTGTAAGATAGCTTTTGAGAATTAGGGTTTGACAATCTCTGTCTTCTTCTTTCTTACAGTGCTGATGGAGGAAATCTTGGGCTCCCCCAATTACCAGGTCAAGAATACTCTTTTCATAGCTTTCGAACAAACACATACAAACTGAGCTTTATGGAGAGTCCCTCTGGGATTAAGGTGGGGTTTCTTTCTATTATATGCATTCTTCAATTTTTATTTGCATTAACATAGTTGCATTTTGTTGAGTAAAGTTCATTCTCTTTCTCCTCTTTGTTTTATCTTTCTCTTCCGATATAAACTTCCTCAAAAAAAGAAAAAAGATAAAGAGCTGAATGTACCTAGGCAATTTCCATTTACACCAGGCAATCTAAACAATTCTTAGACATGCTTTGCTGAAATGCTCTCAGTCAACTATGGAGTAGCCATGTAAATGCTTTTCTAAATCAAATTCGAATTCTAATATCCTTCTCATTTAAGCATGGATTGGAATGCATGGAAAATGGTTTGTGGCCCAATCTGCCATATTTATTTCCTCCCATTCCAATACGGCTTCTTTTTTTTAGCTGTTATGTGTATTGGTTTTAACGCCATATGTTGTGACTGTTTGGGGGTATAGCTTTTTTTTATTTCTCAATTATAGTAGATAGTGTGTGTCTCTTGTAATTTTTTATCATTATTGATTTTTATTTATATTTGTAATATAGCTTTTGAGATTTGGGGTTTGACAATCTCGGTCTTCTTCTTTCTTGCAATGCTGATGAAGGAAATCTTGGGTTCCCCCCATTACCAGGTCAAGGATGCTCTTTTCATAGCTTTCGAATAAACACATACAAACTGATCTTTAATGGGAACTAAAAAAACTCGGGGGAAATTTTATAGACTGTATATGGAAATAAACTTTATTTTTTAGGACTCTATGTTATAAGGATGACTTAAATTTTGAATTCCTAATTTTAAAAAGGCAAAACTTGTCAAAATATAGAAAGTCAGAATTGAAAAGACTAAGAAAGTGTATATTTATGTAAGAGTAAAAAGAGTAAGAAAATCCAAAAATTAAAATATCTTGATCCCCATATGCAAAAGGAAACGTTGTTCTCAAAAAGGATTTCTAATTTATGAAGAGAGGTTTCTAACAGAGAAAGATATACAAGGAATCATTGTTCACTAGGACTCTAGTGCATAGTTACTGGGATGGGGAGCGTTGCAAGATCCGCGAGTGGAAGCTGGAGCATGGGATCAAGCAATGCTCAAAGATCTATAGTTGAGGGATCGAGGTCCGTACATCGTGTGGTAAAAGGATCGAGATCCCAACATATAGGGAGCATGATTTAAGTTTGTCTAGGATTGAACGATAAAGCATATGGGATTCGGGTCTGTGAAGCTTAGAATCAAGGCTCCACAAGGGCACTTAACTACAGTACTGGAGTTCGGGAACACTTCCAATATGAGGATTCAAATCTCAGTGTCCCTGACCTTGTTTTTCCCTCCTTTGGGTTCTTTCACTTAGATGACATTGAAATATGGTCGACGAGAGGGCAAAGGTATCTTATCTTTCACTCTTTCTCTCCCTCTCCTTCATATTGTTAATGCTAAAAGTGAAAATCTTTTGTATTCTGTTTCTTGTTGCGCTTTCTCTCGAAAAGTGGTGGGCTATGCCATCACAGCTTCGCATTCACAATGTTAGCGACCCCTCTTTCTCTCTCTCAAATATGAACACATTGGGGAGTTGAAACTATCTCATTCTCGCTAAATTCCTCGATGAGGTACACTGTTATTTGTCTCATTCTCCCCCTACCCCTCCTCCCTAATGAGAGATGTACTGGACCTAGTGAATTAACCTCTAGGAAGTTAAGCCTATCAACTGCAACTTCTTTCTTTGCTTATAGTACCGCAACTCGTCTCTCCTTACTATCTTCTTTTGTCTTCTTCCTTCTCTCTTCCTGCTCTCTCTTGTTGCCTTTCTTTGAAATTATTCACAAGGCACAACACAAGGTGTGTAAATTGTAATTGTAAAGTATATAAGAAGTCAAGGCCTTTACATAAATTGTGGGTCGTAAAAAACTAAAGAACCTTCCTAAGTAGGGATCTGTGTCAAATTGTCTATAGCTTATAGTTTAAACAAAAGAATTGCCATTCACAACTACCAATGTTTCAAGAAGCACTAGGCGGCCCTTAGGCAGCCTTGGTGCCCAGCGTTTAGGCACTAGGCTGGCTCCAAAACCTCAAGCACCTTGAGGTGAAAAATTTCATATATATGCTGTTCAAAAGCACATATATGCAAATATTTTTATTAATTTTGTACTTATATGTATTCTCATTGGCTTTTCCATGCAAATATATATGCATGAATGTTGAAACATGTTCAAAAATTCAATTCATTGAAAATTTAGTGAAAAAAGTCAAAAACATGAACAAGTCCATGGTGTATTAACCTTCAGCTATCCAATCCAAATTGAGTATGGCATACTCCATACTGACACATGAACACGACGACAACTAGATAAGATGAAATACAAAAGAGAAGTACAAAACTAGTAGTCCAATAATGAAAATTGAAATACAAAAGAAGAGAGAGGAGGTCTTTCTTTCTTCATAATTTGTTCTTCGTTGTTTTTTGATATATTTTGAGCTAGAAAATCACCTCAAAAGTCTTCAAATACCGTCACTTGCACCCTAAAAAATGTTCCACCAATGAAGGCTAAGCTTTTGGGTGTTTCCTCAAGCCTCAAATTCTTTTTTCGATTCACAGAAAAAGTTATAATTTGATTTTTTTATTTTTATTTTTTTTATTTTTAACTTTTGGGGTTTAAAACACCCCCAATGTTCTTTTATAAAATTTTGTGGGTCAAAATGACCTAAAGTGATCTTGAGCCCACTTAAATTACGAACAAGGGGGACTAGAATCAGGCGCTCGCTTGGGCATGCCTAGGTAATGACGCCCAGGCCTGGGTGTCCACCCAAAGGCCCTTTTGATGCCTAGGCATCGGGTGGACCTTTTTCTAGGACAATGATAACAACTAAATATGTTGGTCATCAATGCTCCATTGGAAATGATCTCCAAGTGTGTCGATAACCTTACTCCCAATGTAGAAGAAGCTTAGTTCCTAGTTAGACTAGAATCGAGTCTAATTGCACATGGGCCAATGATTTGGATAAGAGGTATCTTGATCCCATTAACTATCGTTCTCAATCCACAATTTTGTGGATTGAGATCCTTAAAATAAAAAGTGCCTAGAATCGAGATCTCCTCCCAGAGCGCATGATCTAGCTTCTGGAGCTGGAGTGACCACCTCCTTGGGAGATCCCGACAACTATGCCCAAGTGTGCAAGGAGTTTCCTACTTTGCAAGGAGAGGGGAAAAGATCAAGAGGCTATGGTAAGTCAAATAAATTTGACTGCCTTCATTGTGTGCTTATTACACAAACACATGCATCCTAAGAAATTGAATATATATAGTATAGGTCGTTAAGAACTTAAGATTAAATAGAAAATGAAGCAAATATATAATATATATAGAAAGAGACTACGCAATGCCTATGGGTGAAAATCAACAGTATATTCGCCCA